ATAAACTTTTGAATCAATCAATTAGGAATCGCAATATAATATATTATCCCATGTGCTTGAGTCCGATTTGCTAGTAGATCCCTAACCCGAAATCATATATATCCGCTGTATGCCGCGGCCACCAAGGTTCGTGGGGGAGAGATCGGTCTTTCCGGATGGTGGAGCATGGCTTGACTGTTGCTCATTCATGAAGTAGTTTCACGAGGTGAGATGAGCGAACAAGCCCGTTCAGGAACTACTATTTAATCCGGATGAGGATTTTAGTATTCTTGTCATTATTTGTGGAACGAGCTAATTTTGGTCTTCCAATCCAAATGTGCAAGTCCATATGAGAAGAATCACAGTGTATGTGTCCCGGCGCCTCGGAGTTTGACATGGTGTTTGCAGTATCTCATTACTCCTGTATAAGGAGCCAGAGTCAAATTTAGTTTAGATCCATCTTCTTACCGCTTACTTTGTGAGTGGACTGACCGAGCTGGAAAATCCTGATATATATCACACTTCCTCGGTAAACTGATTTACTTACAGAACCTCCCGAGTGAACTGACCCCGACCAGGATTGAGCCAGAACAACTCCTACGTCATAAACTACTCTAAAAGATATAATACATTTCTTCTAAGATAAGGCTTCATACGGGCGTTCGTTGGAATATTGGAGATCGATCCATGGCAGTTTTCGAATTTCAGGCTTTATATTCGCCATACTAGCACATTTCGGGGATTAAGTCTTTACTAATTCTCAGCTGGATACTTGTAGATACGTGGATAAATATAAAGCTATCTCTCTAACTACACAATACCAGCCTCTCCCGAAAGTGCTGGATTCGATGCTATTTATAATTTCCATTCGGTGTTAATTAATTAGATTTGTTGATGGTGACATATATATATATACGCTTCGCGATGGGGCCCGAAAAATCTATCAGCCCAGTCAAACCTGCTCCAGAAAACCACGAACATAAGCCCACTGATTTGGGCATTTCGGTTTATACGCCGGGGTAGACTAGGTGTCAAATAAGGTGTGAGGGTTCGAGAGAATTTGGTTGCTGCTGTCCATAGGAAATCACTCGATGACCAGCTACAAATAGGCAAGGTTAATTCCCCAATCGGCACTCTGCGTCAGGTACTCGCGCGCATACAGACGAACACATAGCCCCCATGGCAAGGCCTGAAATAGAGAGTTTGATCTACATCAGTTGAATAGAAAGTCGGCTCTGGACCTGGTTCCCATGGAATTAATGAATCAAACGAAAAAAGAAAAAAGAACCTGGTTCCCATGGCAACCATTGCTGGTCGGGTGATAGCTTGTGTCTGCATTGTTCAATTAAAGAATTTCATCCTGGAGGCTACGGTCGTATTTCACAGCTAGAGGTAAAAAGAAAACTGATGGTGCGACAATAGTTGACTACTAATTGTGCCTCCTTACCTCATAGGTACGGGGGGGGCGAGGCCTGGGGGGTTCTCACCTTGTCTTGCATTCTTTAAAGTACAAAGCTTAGTGTGGTCAACGAGGCGAGCTAACTCGAGTCCTCGAGCCCAAAGCTCGAGCAGCCACGAGCAGCTACCCTCACGAGTCAAGTTAGCTCGAGCGTTTTCCGCTGCTCGACTTGAAAAGCTTGAGCTTTTTAGGCGTTATCTCTCTGAATATCCCCGCCTGAAAACCATGAAATCGCGAAGTACTCAACGCTAACCCTAATTATATATATTTGCACAAAGAGAGCTAGAATGACTCCTGGAACTCCTATCTGAGGCCACTGAAAAGCCCGAGCTCAGCTCGCGAGCTTCTACAAGTCGAGCAGCTGCTATCACGAGTCGAGTCAAGCTTTTCCTCCTGCTCGTCTCGAGCCGGCTCGTCGGCCACACTAACAAAGCCTTTGCAGTCTCAAGAGTTTGTGTGGATCATATGGGCTTGGAGATGAGACAACCCTACAACGCCCATGCTGTAGCTAATACTAAGAGATGCTCATCCCTTTTTCCGAACTAAGGGCTGAGTGTATATTCAATAAAGCGAAAGATCAAAAGCTCTCATGCCCATCACCACCCCCATCCGCCTTAGCTGTACAAGGCTCAACTCAACTCGAAGCTTTTCCCACACAATTAATTCCTCATCCCACAGGCCGTCGCACCAGCATTAATTTCCCATGCCGGCCTCCGGCCAACCCCCCTCACCGGGGCAAGGGATGCAGAGCTCCCCGCATCAGTCGGCGGAGCAAAGCTATGCGAGATAGCCTTGATCTCGGTTGCGCTACTGCTACACCAATACCCCGTCTAGTATTTGAATTTTCGAACCCTTGGCTCGTGTCTTGGCATATCAGACCCTAACCCAGAAGCTCACATCCACGCTCTCTAGAAATGAACCGAGTGGTCTTTCTCTCTCCTTACTGGCGCTGCTACGCCCGTTGATGAATCAAATGATGTCTTATCCTGAAAAGGAAGTCTGTGAGCGGATCTTCGGTTCGATTCTAGGGTCTGTTAAAAATCGAACTGTGGACACATTTTTCAGAGCGACTTGGTTCATTACCTATAGTGTGAGTGCGTAATGTCAACTTGAACCGAAAAGGCTTTGATTGATGCCTTAACCTGGATCTTTCCTACGAATTTTGTATAGTCAGCATGTTTGTTAATACTTTGAGGGGTTGTTCCCAAGATCAGATCTTTGGCGATGCTTTATCTATCTGTTTCGGTGGTTGGCATGTTTTTATAATTTACCAACTAGTGTACCGGACGCCGTCGTTGGTAGATATTATACATATAAAGCAGAAGCTCAGGGCACCCTAGGGTACCAACTTTGTTAGGAATCGGGATAGCACATCCCGGGGGTCGGGATAGGTTATCCTGTGAGGATAAGCTTGAGTGATTTGGGTGTTTTGGGATCCCCAAGCATTAAGTAGCTAAAATAGGAGATTTCGCTCTTATTTGGATAAACTATCCCATAGGAACGACCATACCGTATATGGCTAGCTCATTTACTAGTAAATGAGCTAAGAAGGCGTACTTTAAACTTGTCAAGTGGATAAAACACTGTTCAGGAATGAGTAAACGCAGGTGTGCTTTATACTTGTCAAGTGGATAGAAAACTCTTGGGAAACTTGTCCTACGAGATTCAATACCAGGTGCCTTTTTTCAAATGATTGCGACTAATTCCTGGGGGAGTTAGAGCTTGTGAAGTGCCTATACATAACCGCGGCTATAAGAGTGTTTCGTACACACATTTCCCCAAATAGATGATGCATGGGAAGATAATCGTTTCCGGATTCGTTTAGCTATAGCGCTAGCTAGCACTGTTAGAATGGGAAAAGGCTAAGATAATTAAGGGACATGACAGCTACCTAGCAGGGATTGAATGATTACTAACCTAGTACCCAGGACGTCGACGTTGCACATCGCAAGCAGCAGCGACCTGACGGGAGGTGTTTTCAATGTCTTTTTGGCGTGTGGATGATATGCGCATCTGTATTCTCTCTCCACATATATACCGCGAATACAATCCCATCGTCCATAGTGCTCGTTCAGTTGTAACACTGAGATCTGCTAAGTACGGATCGGAGGAGACGAAAATCTTAACGTTATAGACACATGTTTATGCCGGTGGTGGGAGGTGTCTTCTACCGCTTCGTAATAGAATCTCTAGGTATCGAACCGCTGAAGAAATAAACGTCCTTGATAAATTCAAATTTTAAAGCCTCATTATATACACAAGCTCTCCCACTATACTGGGCCTTTGACCTCCCCCCCTGTCGTCTGCCCTAGCCCTAATAGAAGAGAGAGCGCGACAACAGCCAACCAACCACCGTCTGTCCCCCGCCAGCCACCGGATTATCTCTGCCTAGGGACAAATCATTACAGAAGACATGTTGTCGGTTGTTGGCCACAAGCAATGATGCTGCGTGTATGCATCCCATTTGGCGCGTTCATGTACTGCGCACGTGACCGTTCTCCTCTGGGTGTCACAGCAACCCCCCTTCCCACCCTCCCCGCCACTCCCCGACATACGTGCGAAGTGAGTCATAACGGAGAAAAATGCGTCAGCGCAACCCCGTTTCGGGCACGACACATTGGGGGAAACAAAAGGTCTCCATCATTCCCCTCTCCTCCATCCCTCTACCGCACTCCCAAACACAACCATAAACAACAGCAAAAGGGCAGCCGGCCCGCCAACCTCAGTGCCCCTCAGTGCTATAGTAGTACACCACTTGGAGAGGAAGGGGTCGGAGGTTATGAAACCCGCTGCCCCCCCCCCCCCCCGCGGGCCCCTTTCATGTCTATAATTTATGCGTACGTGTTTTTTTTCGGTTTTTGGGCTTTTTGGGAGGTGGCCTTGTTATCGTGGCCTTATTATTGTAGCCTCGTTCTTGATCGGCAGTATTTGGCTTCATCGTGCTCTCAGGCTCTTGTTTCATAAATCTCTATTTCGTCTCCCCGTCCTCCTCCGTCCCCCCCCCCCGCCTCCCTCCTCCTCCTCTGGGTCCTCATTCCTCGCCTTCTTCCCTTTTCCACCCCACGAGCTCCACAACCCCCGCACCTCCGCAACTTGTCATCTCGACATTTCCCACCCACATATTGTTTCCTTCCCGCTCTAACACTATGTAGCTCCGCCGAAAACCTACCTACCACCACCGGTCTTCCGGTCAAACTCGGTTACCCCCGCGTCTCACAGCGTGTGTCCTCCCTGACTCCCACCACCTTCCCCTCCGCGCCCGGTACAGCGGCGGTGTGTATAGCCGTTAGTTCAGTAACAAACCGCGGGCAAGCCCGCTTCTTTCCGCATATCCGTTATAAGCTAGCCGGCCGGCGGGTGATAGACCCAGGTTACGGGAGTAGTTCTTCGGCCCGGGAAATCGTCTTTATCCCTGCCTCCCCCTTCCAGGCGGCGGAGTAATCCCCCGCACGCCTGAGTGGGAAGTGCTGCGATGGAGGGTTTGGCGGCGTGGTTGGTGGCTGGGTAAGTTACTGGGGGTTGCTGCGCACGGTGGGGGTGCCTGCGTGCTTCCTGGTCTCGTCTAGGAGACCGGTGTCGGGGGGCAGAGGGACGCTGGACGGAGTGGGGGTGCGCCGCATTCCCTTGGAGTGCTGGTGGTGTTGACAGAGTAGTGGAGGGGGTGGGCGGGGTGGGCGGGGTGGGCGGGGGAAGGCCGGGAGAGATGCAGATCGGTGGAGGAGACGGGGGTAGGCACCCTCCTTAAAGTTGTGGAGATGAAGACGGAAGACGGCGGAGGAGGGACCGGAGAAGTTGGAAAAGCAGAATTCGTAAAGTGGGACGGAATATGAGCGGCGGATATGGAGGATAGGGGAATAACTGGGAGAAGCGATAGCTTGCTTTCTGGAGCCATGGCTGATCGTGCGGGAGGCAGCAGAGGACGGAGGTGGGAACGGAGAGTGTAGCAGGTTGCCGGCAAGCGAAGACTATAGCGTCTATAGTCATGAGTATTTCCTTGACTCGGTGGAGAAGACCGCGGAGGAGACGGCGGTGAAGGGAAACATGCCATCGTTGGTTCCCGCCTTGGCGGAGGTTGTAGGGGATAAGGGAGATAACGACGCAGAACAGGAAATGACTGCGAGGGGCACAGCATCTATATCTATGGTTATTTCCGTTCTTCATCAGTCAGAGAAGGGACAGTGGAGAACAGGAAATTGATGAGGAAAAACAAGATTCCTTCTTTCCAAGTCATTTTTTCCTGCCGAACCGGGCTGAATTCAAGGGCTGCAGGAGGGGCAGGGACGAGGATGGAGGACGGAAAATTAAATCAGACGACAGGAGGATGTATCGATCACGTCGGTAGTTGTGCTACTTTCTTCATACACGGAGGAGAGTGGATCGACAAAGAGGGACTGAGAATTGATTGAGAAGACCATGCCCTCTGTAGCCATAGACGGGTATATTAACTCGACAGAAAGATAGACGGAGGAGTTGTGAAAAACACAATCAAGCCATGCATGGCAGAGGAGGGCTAGCACCCAAGACTGCAGAAGGCAGAAGAGGACGGAGATGAAGATGGTGAAAAGAAAGATCACTGAGGAAAGCGCTAGCATGCTGTTCGCATGTACAGCACTTGTCAATGGTTCATTCTTGACTCGGGGGAGGAGAAGAAGGCGGGGGAGAAGAGGAAGAGAGAATACCCTCTGTACCTATCGCTGGTTTCTGCCTCGCTGAAGGACTTCAGGAGACAGAGGGTAACAGAAGATAGACATGAAGACCTAACTGAGACGGCCACGGTCTGTAGCCACGCAATGGTATTGCCTTGCATTTGGGGGGCAGGTAAGCGGCGGAGAAGAAGAGAAAACGGAACATACCCCCTGTAGCAAGCGCCCACCCCGAAAGGCAGAGGGTGAAACTGAAGAAGATGGAGATGGAGATGGAGATGGAGAAGAGTAGTAATTACTAAGAGGACCCATAACGCCTGTCGCCATGGTGCCCTCTTGATATGCCAGATTGCCAAGACTGTAGGGACTCCATACCGGAGAGCAAATATATATCCGGGATACCAACTTAGTTTTGCAGTAGGAAAAAGAGTATTCTCAGGAGATCTCGTACAGGACAGCAAGGAATCCGGTGTATTGAATTCCCGCGATCCTGTTGCGACTATCGGCGGCAGGAGACGGCGGAAAAGAGGAGAATAACCAAGAGATAACCAACAGAACAGAACACACCCTTTCTCTAAGAGATCGTTGGTTTCCGCCCTTGGTGGAGGAAACAAAACCTGGTGTCGCCGTAGGAGGCTTGCATTGTTTTTCCCGTGGACTCGCGCGACTGTTAGATATGGCAGTAGCAGCCTTCAGAAAAGGTGTTTGCTCTCCAGGTATCATCACATTTATCGATGCCGTCATCTATTCTCAGCTCACCGCCAGAGGCTCCATGTAACGAGGGCAATTGCATCGAGGGGGAGATGAGGGCGACATTAAACCTTAGAGAATTACCGTTTCCGGTAGAATTATTGCTCTCGCACAAAAGAGGACTAATTTAGGTATCTGATCACGGAAAACCCGCTTTCCGCATTAATTCTACCAGCAATGGTATCGGTCCAGCCTACCTGGCAGCCTGGGATAGGCAGGATATGATGTTCGCAACTTTAGGCCAACCATGAATTGTAAAATTGCTAGTTGCGGGTAGTTACATGCCAAGCCATATACAAAATGGGCTCAAAACTACTAGTTGTGGGAACCATTTGGTGGGGTGGCAAATAGCGTTTTTATGGTTGGCGTAAAGTTTCTATTAACAAAGCTCCTGGTAGTGGCTTTACTTAGTCTTGACTTTGACCTTAACTTTGGCCTTCACATTTATGAAAGGTCCACTATATGGCATTTTCACACACACAAACCAGGTTGCGAATTGCCACTTGCGTGACAGGGAATTAGAAAATTAGATCACGACTGCTAGGGTCAGGCAGAACGAATTTTGGCTACTACAGTTGTCAGCCAGTAATACTTCACCTGCCCGAGTAACAGACCTGACCGGCAGCGTACATACATATGTAGATGTTAACTCCCGCGGGGCTTTCATGGATTCTTACTGACGTGGCAGGGCAGTCTAGAGCTCGTTGTAGAACCTTTTTTTTCCCATATGGGATGTACTCTACCTAACATTTGCAAAACGTAAGCTTATTGGGCTCCGAAAGTACCAAATCTTAGGTTTCTGTTATTCTCCAGAAGGCAAAGTCTTGGTTTAAAAGAAAAAAAAAGGTGGGCCCTACCATCTAGCTACCACATTGCTCGCCACATTTCTTTTGGATTTCCAGTCAAAGCCATAATAGGGCGTACTCGTATACCAGGGTAAAAAATGCAAGTGACGGAAACAGTAATGATTTGTATGAGAGATCACCGCCACCCCATACAAATAATCCTTGCCCTGAGCAACTGGTAAACGAGTAGGTTGCATGTCATATATCACTTTTATCTCTACCATGGTTGGAAATATTTCCCGATCTGGTGTTGGTAGGTCAGTGTTAGGACCCGGTCATGGGACCCAGGGCGTGGGGTGTATCCTCAACTACCTATATTTGTGAAATCAGGGTATTCTTTTTTTCTGTGCTAAAGTGGAATCCCCAACAGTGCTGGATCTGAATGTTCAGAATCCGGATTCCACCCCCACCCCCCACCCCACACGAAACTCAACCCATTTGATTCCGGATCTAGCATTGACAAACGCCGAAGCGGGGCGCAAATCTGACCCATAACACGTGTGTGATATTCCCAACGCCACTGCTTGGTGTTTGCACGCTTCCCGGTAACCTCGGAGAGTTATCTACGGCCGGGCCGGATTTGGAAGCGGGGTTTCCTTCTGCGTCCAATTGTTACATACCAACGTAATACGCATGGGGTAAGTTTCTGGTATTAATATCGCCTGGAAGGTCTCGGCCTGGGTAGCTCTTGGTCCGTGCTCGATCGAGTGGGTTCTGTCACTAAGTGATATGATTCTACTGGGTAGGCGGCATCTGTTTGGAGTTGTCACGGTGTCTTAGGTTGCAAATAATCATAGCTGGCGTCAGTAATTACGTGACAGATTGGATATGTAACCTTGAGTGGAAGTGATGAAACTGGTTATCATACCATATCGGGAATAGCAGAGACTGCAGAAAGTAAACAATAACTCCGTGCCATGTATTATTATTATCATATATCATTTTCAATTGATCTTTGGGCATAACGCTCAGCTGGTAATCGTGACGGTCCACACCGCTTCCCTGCTTGATCAATTAAAGTCCCAATTCACTGAGGCTTTAACCCAAAGTACGAAGGCCGCGGGGCCTAAAGCAGTGATTGCCGAAGAGATAGGAATTAGGGGCAGGCCTGTGCACAATTTTCACTACAAATTAATGAGCCATCAGAACGATGGTATTATGTACTCTATGAAGAAACGGAAAATGCAAATTCTTAGTTTGTATAGCAAAGTAGTGCCACTCCATACAAATACCTTCTCACTTCGTCACTTGAATATATCTCTTGATTCTCTTATCGCTACACGCGTACAGCGCTTCGCCGCGAGGCGAGCACACACGTAGGCGAGCAAGACTTTCTGCTGCTTCGTATTATGTAGGGGAAGACTGTACTCTATGGTCACCAGACCAAGAAAAATGTGAAGAACACTAGAAGGGATCATCGAGGTGAACGAAATAAAAATGGGACACCTAGCGAATCAAAAGGAAAACGCCTGTGATTTAAGTCTTAGCTTGTCCATGAAGTAATCCGCCCAGGTTCCGTCTCGTACATAGTTACAAGCCGCTCTTACTCTAGAAAGTCAATTTGATTCAGGCAGCTTGAGCTAGCTTTATCCCTCAAATCGACAACAAAATAGCTCCTCTAAACGTTGGTTACAAGAGTGTATCCTCCACCCTACAGCTCCCATTGTGTTTCTTATCAAACGACATAAGTCCTCTACAAATACATGTTTTTTTATTATCCCTTCATCTGACCATACCATAAAGTGCCTGAGCTTGGTGAGGGATAACTCGGTTGATAAGAAAGGTGAAGGAGTCTAGTTTAACCAACACCGAACTCAGTTTACTCGTGGAGCGCTCCCTCAATGAATCGTTGCACAGTAAGTCAACTTTATAATGATATCGGAAGCTTTCGAATAATCCACTAAGAGCAGTGTATGAGAATACAGAGGGGCTCCGGATTAAAATTTACAAGAGTTTTTAGTGGTAGGAGAAGCGTCAGAAAACGAGATCTATTCCACGAAGATAAATCCCCAACCATCACTCCTTCGTCGCATGAGCGATGATCTTCTAGCTCATTATTCATTATCAGCTCCCTCAGTGCTGTAGCAATTGCTGTAGAAATTGCTGATCCGTCATAGGGATTCATTCCTGACTAAACCGTGTTCTCTAGTGAATTAACTACCACATCTTCGACACCAACGTTAAGGTAGGTTTTCGACAGACCAAGTGATGGGGGAAGCAGTACTGAGTAAGAGTAACAGAGATAATCATCACTAAATACCACGTATACATCACCTTAAAGCTTAACGTTGACACTAACTTATCGATCTTTGACATGGATCTATAAGGCAAAATTTGAATACGACATTGAGACATTGAAAGCTTGATATATTCGACCACTGGGGCAGGGAGAACTTTGCCAGGTCCATCCAGTCAAACGTCCATGGATATATAGTCCTAAGACGAGTGGAGAGTATCTTAAACTAATTAACTCGCGGATAGACGGCTCTGTTGTGACAAGAAATCCATCTCCTTTGCAACTTTACCAATTCCTTTACTAGACGGTGCTGACGTAGGAAGATGACAACTTCAACTCAAGCCGTAGATCGCAGCGCGGGTCAATTGGAATAAGTCGATTTTTGTAATGCTCTCCAGACACTATCCGTTTGAACGCTTGAACCGGGGACTGTATAACGTAAATCTAATAAAACAATGGTTCATACGGTTGGGAGAGTCTGATCTCGAAAGAAAATGCCTGGTGTTGAGATGGTGAGGCCCGTATCGGTGAGAAATTAGGACATGGTGACTGCTAGATGAGTCCGCATGGGTTGCCAATAAGTCTATAAGGAGCTATGCGAGCTTATTTATTTAGAGAAATATTATTAGATTCACATCTCATATTACTATTGTTTAGTCCATCCCCGCGCTATTGATAAAATTAAAAGCGCTGAGCGCACAAGTCCTACAAATCCTTTTCGACTGGCCATGGGACCTCGATAATTCCATCTCCCAAACTCCCTTTAGCAGGGTAAAATGTAAAAGATCAGGTTTTTCTAACCATATAGAGAAGATTCTTAATTTCGCTATTCCCGCGCCACATCCCACAGCTTTTCCCCACACAAGAAAAGGCCGTTGCAACCGCAACCCTGTGCGAGTGATGTTTCATGAAACACTAGTGCTCTCTGAGTGATAGTCTGTGTCTCGGTAGTCACCGGGGAATAAAATAAACTTCAGTGTTGAGGAGCGCGGATCGCACCTACGTGCTCGCATAACAATATTAGATCCCGCGGCCGTTGGTACAGGTTGGATTAGGTCGAAACCATTTTCTCCATTTCAATATAGGATTATTGCGCGCCTTTAGATTCGAGCGCGAGCGGAGTAATCACGAATAGCTTGGTGCGCTGTCATTTGGGACGACGCGCTCCAGTTCATACAAACCACGATAATTCATGAGTATCACAGTCGAAATCGAAGAAGTTCAACAGAGCTAGTACTCATGCTCGGTGTTAGAGGAGCAAACGGCTACAGTGTTCCTTCGATAGGAATAGATAGGAGTTTACCAAGCCACTGAAATACCCTGTATTATGGAGACAGCTAACATTGAGATATTGGAGCCATTTACGACGTCGCCCGCACGACTACGATCCGAGTATGGGATTCTTGGTGTCGGAGGGTGTATGCAAGGGCTGGTCACGCTTCTCTAGCTACAATCCTTGGTCCAAAGAGCGACTCGTTTACGCAAGACAGCCCGCCCCCGCTCCTTCAGCTAGATAACTCTGCGAGCTTAAGTATGATCATTGCCACGGGTACACTTCTGTAGGTAACGAAAAATGATGACAAGTGTTAATCACTTACCCTCGACAACACCTGGTACCTATTTCCAGGCCAGAAATTCAAAAACTCAACCATCGGGTCTGTGAAGCCCGTAGTGAGTTGTTCTGCTACAGAATATCATCTACCACCGCTCTCGTCAGAGAAATAAAAAAAATAAAAATAAAAGACATGATCGCATGTAGTTCGATTGTGCGGGGTCGTCGTCGTCGTCATGGTTGTCGTGGAAACCAGAAGACAGCTGTAACTGCAGGGGTGGTTGCCGTAGAAACGAGCAGCCAGCTGTACTCTATGTCCGTTACGGTAAAGCGTGCGGAGCTAGTCTATTCTAAACAGCTATCATAAGAGAATACGATCGAGTGCGTCAGGCTATTAACCAAAAGAGTCTAGTAACGGTTCTGTTATGATTTTTACATGCAAAATCTGCTGTTACCACAGTAACATCGATAGAAGAAAAGTGGAAAATCGTCAAGTCTGGGGGTCAGGGGTGTCTTTAATCCCTACGAAAAACGCTTGATGTACATATGTAGATAAATAAAAATAAAGCTAAGAGACGTAAACCCATCTATTATGCAATCACCATTCCCTTTTAAAATGGCCCCTACGCCTTGCTCACAGAAGTCACCTAGCGGAACTTCTACACCCAGGTCATCTTTACCGGAACTCACTTTTTGAGGAGCAAAAAACACTTGGAAAGCAGGACTCTCGGTGTTTGTTCTTGGCAGTGCCGGAACCCTCTATGATTGTTTTCTTTCAATAGTGGTGATAGAGCTTTTTTACTGCGATCTCTCACGGCATTTTTGGCCCAAACCATAGCAATGATAATACCTTCGTTAATTAACTCCGATATTTTTACTATCGACGCAAACTGTACTGATGCTTGATTTGTGTTGTGGTTTAGACCGCCACTGGTACAATAATAACCCATATTCGGATAGTGATCGAACTTCCGAGGACGAGAGGTGTTTCCTTTCTTTTTTTCATTTCTGGCAAATCAGCCTACTTCCTTATCATAGATTATCAGTCCTCGTAAAGTATAAAGGAAGGAAATAAATGCTAACCTTCGAATCGCACTTTGCGTCGTTATCTTCATCATTTACTCTTTTGTGGAGGTCAATTATGGCTTTAGAATCCGCGCGATCTGTTTCCAACGCCCCGCCTTTCTCTGGCAATGACATAAATGTTCTCGACAGCTATCGAGAGCTCACAAAGTTGAAAATAAAAGAAAAAGATGCTGCAGGCTTCGTGGCGGTGAAACGTTTGGGGTATGATTCTCGTAGTACCCTTTCTGCACACGCACACTCACACTGTGCGCTGTTAATCGGGCTCTGAATCCACACTCGTAGTCAACAGGAAGCATTATATTCTGCCCCCAAGTAGATCTAGCTGCACTGTCTTGACGTACATAGAGTAAGTTGCCTATCCGTAGGCTGATAGGAGGAGGGCCGTGCTTTGACTGAACCGTTCGCACATCCAGAGCCGACTCTTCCTAGCGACAGTCGTATGTAATAATTAACCGTTCCCAGAGTAAGACTAGGTAACAAAGGCCCGAGTAATACTATTTTCCGCAAGCAAAGACCAGTCTGCAGTCCGTGTCTCGCTCGTCGTTTCACACCCCCCCCCCCCGCCCCCTCACGCCCCAAAGCCGGGAACCCAACGCCCACCCCCTAGTTCCCGAGCTAGAACCCCAACTAGCGCCAACCCCATACCCTCATACCCCTGTAACACACCCACACACCCCAGCGCGCGCTCCCGCAACACAGAAGCCAGCACCATCCTGCGCTGGCAGGCATGCGACACAACCGATCACTCGGTGGCGCAGGCAATGCACAATCTCTCACTCGCACCAGGCTTGTGCTGCACTGGTTGTCACTCGCGCGCTGAGCGGTTGCGAGGCTGCGAGCGGAGGAGTAGAAATTCGCCCTAAAAATATGAAGTCGCGGGGGAGGGTTCGCTAAGGGTGAGGAGGAGGGGTTCGCTTAGGGTGCGAGGAGGGAGAGGGGAGGGGGGAGGGGGGAGTCGCATTCCGCGGGGGAAGTGTACGGGCGGCTGTGAAACTTTAAGGTGGCCAGCGCGGGCAATGGGAGATTGTATTTTGGAAGCGTGGGTTTACTGGCTTCTATATTGTAGCGAGAAATAGTATCATTATCACGGTCGCGGGGAAAGGATCGGGCACTTGCGTTCCCCTAGCGGCTTTCACAGGTCACCTCGTGGAAGCAGAGTACAGGCGAGCTATGGAAGTTTAAGGCGGGTATCACGACGGGAATAAGGGATAGTATTTCGGGCCCCCAGACCGCAGCGAGAGTATCGGTAATATTATCACGAGTAGATCAGGATGAACTATGGCAGCTTGATTAAACGCATTATATTGTATTTCTAGCTGTGAAAATCTCGAAAACTATTCTATACTAGCTACATGTAGTGACATGGCGAGAAAACTATATCTAGATCTATCCGAACAGAGTACCAATTTAACCTTGTCTCTATAGCGATAACGTCTATGCTCCAGATCTAGCCATCCTGACAATCAAAAGCCACTTTCCGCCCCGTTGCTCTGTTCCGTCACTATCTTCATCAACACCGCCCCGCCCGCATCGAACTCCCGCATCGAACTCCCGCACCACCGCACCACCACACTACCGCACCAACAACGCGCCGCAACTCCCCACCGCCATCACCCCAGACACCCCACACCGCCCCATATATCACACACCACCGCACCTCTCTACCGCCACCCCCGTCCCCCGCACCTCCCCCACCGCCACCACGCCCACCACACACCCCAGCACCCACCACGTCCCCCCCCCCCAGCGCCGCACAGGACACATACACACACACACATATCCACACCTTATCGGCCCGCCGTGGCCACACCCTACCGCACACGCACACTCCCCTCATTAGCACGCCACTCATCTACCACGCCAGAGGGAGAAACTTACACTCGTCGCATAGCCCATTCAACAAGGTGTCGTAGAAAGGCCTGTGTGTGTATGTATGTGTGTGTGCATGGAATAATGTGCGGCGCTGATGTTAGGGCCGGCATGGTGGCGCGCTGGTGTCAGTGGTTAGTGGCGTGACAGGGTGTGGAGGTGCGGGGGGAAGGGGAAGGGAACAGAGTATGCGTGTGTGTGTGATGTAAGGAGGAAGTGGGTTGAATTGGGTGAATGAGGCGAAGAGCGTGAGAGGTTGGAGAGGAGGGGGTACTATAGCGGGGAGAGGGGCGGGCCAGGGGTTTATCAGGTCAAGATCATACAGAACGTAACATCACAAGCTAGAGAAAGGTTGACAAGTAATCATCTAAGACAGCAATGAAACACAGCAGGGCGGCCTCGTCACCCACCCACCCAACCAGGCACACCTAGTTTTCAACTCAAGATCATCATCCTCACAACCCACAACCCACCAAACCGACCAGGAGACCGGGCTATGTGGTAGAAGGGTCTATGTCCGGGTAAAATAATCCCAACTCCAGAAACCTGCTCGCTCGGTGTTCATATTGCGCTCGGTATTTTAGTCGCGCGCGGCATCCCAGACGACAAGTCCCACTACCCCAACCAGCACATCCCACGACGCATCTATACCAAACCAAACCTAACCACCCCGAGAAACTTCTTCAACCTTCAATCCCCTTGTCCTCGGTTACCTCCTTCCACACAGCAGCAGGGCTCGCAACTCCCATTCATCTTCCAGCCTCTTCCCGAGCTCAGAGTCGCCATCTTCCTTCCTCCATTCCGTAGCTGCGCCACACGTCTGCTGCACAGCTATTCCCATCAATGTCCAACCGCCGTTCGGCCATCTAGACCAGTTCACCCCCAACCAACAACCAACCAACTCAATTCACCTCACACACCAGCCCTCCTCCCAACCCCCCACCTGCCCCCAACCCCCTCACCCCTCGCCATCTTCCGCAATGCCACAACCCTCACATGCATCACTTGTCCCCTCCTCTGCCCGCCCTCCTTCTGCACCCTGTTCCTCCCCCCCTAGCCCTGCCTCCTCTCCGTGACCGGACCGGCGCGGCCACAAAGCCACGCACCCAGTTCCTGCCCGCACCATCCCTACTCTTCACTACCCGCCCACCGCGCACTCGGCGCACAGCCTCCTTCTTAGGTCCCCGCTGGCGTGACAGTGCTCTGTGGCGGCGGGGCCGCAGACGGCAGGTGCTTCCTGGAGACGGTGCTGTCGGAGTGACCGCTGTTTCTGGAGGTGGAGGTGGTGTGGACGGCGGTGTGGGGAGGTCAATATCCATTGCGTCTGTGTCACTTTCTTCTTTAACGTTGTCGTCCTCATCGATGGGGGAAGGGTCGCGGCGCGGGTAGAGGCTCGTGCGTGGTTTGTGGATGGTTAGTGGTGGCAGCTTTGTGATTGCGGAGCGGCCGAGCTGGCGGACCGAGGGCGTGGCGGCGCGGTAGAGCGGTGGAGGGTAGGCAGGCCGCGGGCGCGGGTGGAGGGGGCGGTAGGTGTGGTTAACGTTGCTGGTGGAGACCGTGCGGGCGGTGTTTGTAATTGGCTGAGTTGGGGGTGTGGCATGGGTGGGGTGGCTGTACGGGCTGCGCGGGGTTGGTATCAGGGCGCGGTGTACGGGCGGGGGCAGGGCGTGGTTACGTATGTTCGTTGCGGGCATTGGCATCGGCATCGGCACCGGTAGAGATGAGTGCTGCGGGGCCGGCAGTAGAAGTTGTGGGCGGGGAGTCGGGAGTTGGGGCGGTGCGCGGATGAGTGGGGAGGCTGGCGGCACCACACTGCGGGTGGCCGCCGCCGCGGGTCGGGTGTAGGTCTGCACATAGCTCGTGCCGTATGACCACTGCACGGGCCTGATCTGGGTCGGGGAATGAATTGGAGGCTGCGGCAGTGTGTGTGGCTGTGGCTGTGATTGGCGCAGCGGAGTAGGGGCTACGAAAGAGGACGGCGGGCGTCGGGTGTAGTTGTCATCAATGTGCCATTGTCTCGGGCCCGGCGCGGGATCTAGAGTCTCCTGCTTGGGTGGGGCGCCCTCGTCTCTAGCAGCAGTGGTGGTGGTGGCGATGTGGACCTTTGCGTTCGGTACGCTCGGGTTCAGGAAGATGCCCTCGTAGGTTGCGCGGCGCTGGCGGTCCTCGTGGCGGTGTAGGGCGTAGAAGAGGAGGGCGAGGAGGAGGAGGAGAAGTGGGAGGGGGAGGGTGGGGAGCGTGAAGTCCCAGGCGGTGAATGTTTGGTGGTGCGGGGAGGCGGTGGGCGTGTAGGTGGTTACGGACCAGGTGAGGGAGGGCACGGCGGGGAGGTCAAAGGCGGGTGGCGTGAGGAGTCGCATGAGTAGTAGGCCGAGCATTGTGAGGGATTGATGGATGGGTGTATAGCGATTGGGAGAGTGGTCAATTGAGCAACGGAGACGTAGACCTAGTGATTTAGGAATTGATAGATTGATCGAAAAGTCGACAATTGGTAGAGAGTTAGACACAGAGTTAGATAGATCAGTAGGAACCTATTTTTTTTTCAAATATTAGGTTACTATACGTGTGAATTGCCGGGCGCGGTATATGATTTTATTCAGAGAGAAAGCTAGATAAGTAACGGATACACGCAGGGAGGGCGCGGCGGGGGGGTTAAGTACCAACTGGCAGTAGCGATACCTTGTCTAGCTGCGGTACTCAATACTAGTGGAGTTGGTACTCAGGTGGAACAATAGCAGCCCACAGATTCGGTCGCGACCCGGTAAAAATAAAACGAGATCTATGTCCTACACACTACCTACACACTTCTATAGAAAATACCCGAGGAAAAGCTTCACTTCTACTCCTGGTAGCAGAATAGTACTAATGTTACCTATCACATCCTTCCTGCTCTAACAATACGTTTACAACCCTCCAAGTCTACTAGGTACCCCGGCAGCTGCATTGCATGCAACAACCATCATTGGCCCAACCTGCACGCCGCAACCAACAACCCAACCACACTAGCCAATCCCACCCACACGATTATCGATAAAGTCTTTTTCTAAACGACTAGAAGTACCATATCAGGCGAGCGGGGTAATAGGTCGGCAGCGGTACATACGTATGTACATACATACGTTTTATCGGCCCATAACAAAACAACAACAAATAGTCGTAATGGGCTTAGTCTGGGCCGAGTGATGGTGGGTGTGCGATTGACGTGGGGGGGGGGGGGGGGGTGGAAGTGGGTTTTGATTTTGTTATCTGCCTTCAGTTTTGGCTTCAATTCAATTCAATTGAATGGTGCGCGGGGTAGACTTAGACTTAAAATTGTAGTGTCGCAGGATGGGTTTTTCTCAGAGAACGGAATCGATTGACACCAATTGACTCGGTACACACAATACCTAGTATCATATGAGCCAACTCCAGCTGCATGGCTAGGTAAGACAATATCGCAGTAAGAAACCTTTGACAAACGCCCCTTCCGTCTGCCCACCATCTACAGTCACACCTCGCTATGCCGGACGGCCAAGATTCACCAAATCCTGTACGGATAGTAAATACCCCCAAGAAATCCGGGATAGCAAATTGATTTCGCAGTAGAAAAATCGAATTCTCAAGGGGTCCGGCATACCGAGCTCCGCCATAGCGAGGTGCAACTGTATCACTCGCCTATACCTTCCCAGGCCCTGACAAACAATCTCTCGGCCCCCCTGCAGTGTTGTTTGCCATTGATAAGGTATGCACACCCACATTTAAACACACACATACCAGTATGTATGTATTTGCCCTAGGCCCTAGGCGCTGGGCGTTCCTGTGACGTCAGTAGGGTAGGGTAGGGTAGGGTAGCTAGCAAACTTTCCGTTGAGATTGGAGTTTTTGGCGTTTGTTTGCTAGTGTTAGTGTCAGTGCGGGAAGTGAAAAAGCAAAGAGAGGTAGAAAGGAGAGGGCTTGCGTGTACGCCTGGTTTTCCATGCGCGTGGTTCCACTGCAAGTGGAGTATCATCATGGTTTCGTTTGTGGGTTTCAGTATCGACATACAGGCAAAGTGACCTAAATAAGGGTTATCGATCGATGGCCACACTCCCAGAGAATTACAATTCAAAAACAGATATGAAAAATGCTCGCTGGCTACGTACGTATGGCATATAGCAGCTAAGTATCGTTATCGATCAATCTCGTGTGTATTTGCTATTTATCCCATGAGCAATGGTCCCATAGTCCCATAGTCCCATAGCCTCGTGCTGCTGTGGATGTAAGGTATGTAGGTATGCCGAAGGGTCAGACGAGAGCAGACGGGAAGATCGCCCGTCTAGTATACAGTATCCGGTAGAATTATTGCAAAAGTCAGAACTAAAAGAGTGGATTTGTTGGTCTGTGCTCGCAGCAAAAAATCTTTCAAGGGCCAATAGGACTATCGGGTCACGGAGAGCCCACTTTTGCAATAATGTTACCGGATACTGTACATAGAAGCTGGTCAACAGACGACCTTTTGGCATCCAATTTCAAGGTCCTCTGGGTCTGCTGGTACTTAGAAGGGAAACTATGCCTGCCGATACTTGATCACGTAGCGCAGCTATTAGTCTATTACTATCAGTCCCGTGTTTATTTGCCATTACACACATAGCCCCATAGTTCCGTACAAGTAAGGTATGCCGAGGGGAAGATAGCCTCTCCACAGGTCATCAATCACTTTTTCTGTCTTTACGTTAGAGGACTTGTATTTTTCACTTCTAGTGAGCCTAACCCTCACTCCGCGTAGCCACAGCTTGTGACCCTGTCCTGCCCTTTTATGACAGCACCCACCGATCCTCTTAGTCGTTATGTAGATCTTTGCCAATCACTACCTATTGCGAATCGCGGGCACAGACGAGGGGATCCTGTCGACAAACGACCTGTAGCCACCCGATTTCTCGAGTCTGACGGTTGAATAAAATCCTTCTGACTCTACTGACTCGGGTCTGGTGGTGGATGGCAAACCATGCCTTGATCAGGACATCCACGGGATGGTGCATGCGCCGTCATTTTTCCCTTGAGCGCTCTGGATCTTACCTGCCTTGTTTGACCTATTGTAAGCATAGACCGCAAGAACTTATCAATTGCAAGCACACGTATGTTCGTACCCACCGGCCGCCCACCCGAACAATCGCTTTTCAGGTATGATGAAGAAACGGGGGGCCTGAAACCAGGCACACAGCCCGGGTCATATTCAACTCCTAGACGGAGTGTCATCCACCAGCAGACTTCGAAATCGGCTACTGACAAAAAAAGAAAAGGCACAAATCACAGTTGCGCCCACGCCCCTCCCATCGTCATTCACGAGGTGAGCGGGCTCCCATAGGGTAGTAACAGGGGGTCGAGTGATAGCCCATGAGGCAGTAGAAAGCGGTGAGTGATACTCCATGTTGCGCTTCCCAATGGTGGATGGGGTGGGGTTGGAGGTGGAGGAGTAGAGGGGGCTGAGGAGGTGGCGGTGGGGGTGGTTTGGGGTGTGGGTTCTGGGAGAAAGGGGTGCTTCGTAGGGGGAAGAAGGGAAGCGAAGGTGCTCGGCACCCGTGTTTTCATATCGGCTTGCCGTAACGAATTTTTTTGTGGTTCAATTGTTTCTACAAATTATTTACATGTTTAGCTACATGTGCGCATATACATCCTCTATCCGGTGTTCGGAGTCGATCTCTGTAATACTCCTAGCCTGCCTGGCTGCCTACCCATTTATCGCCCTAATTCGATTGTTTATTTAGTGATGTATCTATGGAGGGGGCCGTTAATAGAGATAGTAATGTGTACAATAGTAGTTACAGATGTTGTAGTGGAGGAGATATGCAGTCATTATGACACTCTAGTAGAGTACTTCAGGAGGTTCCCTCCGAACCTCCTAATAGAACCATCACCAACGATATTTCTTTCGATACACCTCTTACAATTTAGTATTCGGTGATCGATTCGGTGTTAGACTTGCTGCTGGACTCGAAGAGATGGATTCAAAGAAGTGGATTTGAGAGGCCGGATTTGAAGATTAGCCGGATTTGAAGAGCTGGATTTGAATAGTTAGATTTGAGGTGGATTCAGTAGTCTATATATCTGTTCGGAGGCTTTATCAAAATAGCGAGTAGTGAGCACTCAAGACTAGACTCATGCTCATTGATGGAAGATGAGGAGATCACTCACAGAGGTGGATTCGGAGGTTTACTTGGGTGTCGATCCAGCGGATCCGGAGCGGATTTGGAGGTTGATTCAGAGCGATCTGCTGTTAGATTTTCCGGTTAGCCCTTATTTTGATGATTGTTTTGATGATTGGGGGGAGATGGGGAGGGGGCGATGATAGACTGAACGGATGTAGTAGAGGGACAGAGCCGGTGAAAGAGAATGTAGAGAAGCGATACAAGAACCCGGCAAAGTGCATGGCCCTAACCGATAGGGACCTTATTTTCCCCGCAAGTGACCCCAATCGGAAGATTTATTAACGAAAAATATCTTAATAGGGTCTTATGTGTACCTAATCCTAAGCAAAACTCACGATTATGCCTAAAACAAGGCAATTTGCGCACCCGCGCGCGCGTGACACCCAGACCTATACCTAACGGCCCCATACTATCACCCACAATGCCCTCCCCGCCTAAGCGAACTGACACAATTCGATCTGCCCCGCAGCCGTTCCTATTGCCGACCCACATGCCTCAACACCTAGACCCGTTCCGTCTTGAAATGGCAATCGGGACATGGACCATCACTCGCACATTTCTACTTTGTCATAACTCATCACTCGCTCAGGGTTAGGTTTTCATGGGTTGTCACTCACGGGTTCAAAACTTGCGGGATGAGATGGGCGTGCGGGTTGTTGGCTGTTTCGTAAGGCATGTTTAATTAAGCCACTCACGGATTAGGTATATTAAGGAAGGTTCGGGTAGGGTTGGGTTTGGTAGAGTGGGGTTGTGGACTGTTGTGGTTCTTAACACCCGTAGTGGATTGGACCACAGAATATCACTCGCCGCTACCCGCCAATGTGAACTGCAATATACGAGGTGCGCGGGGGGTATGCGACCTCTTTTGCCAAAAATGTAAATTTTGACCTTCTCGGCAAATTCTCGTACATCTACACAAATTCCTGTCACAGATTTAGGTGCCCCCACATACCCCCCGGGGTGGGGGAAATGAAAAATGAACACGATGTCGGACATCGATAGTCGGATTTCGTTCAAACCCTTCGTTCCGAGTTTTTTTTTTTTTTGGGGGGGGGGTACGTTGTCGTCTCCGGATTTTACAATAGGGAAGGGGGATGGCAGATGGTAGCACGCGGGATGACTGGCTACGCCTCCAGGGTAAGTAAACTATTTAGGTGAGTGGACAAAGGATGGAAAGGCTCGTAAGCTTATGGGTATGAGGTAGACGAGGCAGTCGACTTTATAAGGCTTAGAGCCTCGTACTGTGGGAGAGGGCCGCAATGGGTATACTCGGGCACCGGCCCGCTCCGCCAAAGCAACTTAAGCACCTGGCCCAACACTATTCCCTTACCCAGGCTTTTCAGTTTAACCCAGAGAAGCGTTAAATACTCGGGTATCGAAGAAGTTAATATCGGACTGTTGATCTCAACGACATTGAGGCTTTCATAGTCTACGGGCTACACACAAGCAAGGTGGAATTATCAATGAATCAATCAATACCGAGGGTCACGAAATATCACTCGATCAATAAATTCGATACCAAACTAACGTATTTCACCAAGTAGCCGCGCGCCCCGCCAACAATTTATGTAGAATAAAACAAACATATAAAAATTACTTGATGGTCTTGACTTGAGCCAGACGTTAGGTGGCCCGGGTCACGTGCCTGAAAATCAATAAACATGGCGTTCTAGATGTACGCTAATTTATTAAGTATACTAAGCCGGACAAGGTCTAGCTCGATAGTAAGGGTGGTTCTAGTGTACCGGGTGTTGAGGGTAAGTGATCAGAATCTGACAAGTGAATGTTGCGGTGAATACGTGTATTTGTCTTATCAGGTTCTGATCACTTTTCGCTACACCCTAGTACTACGCCTGTGAGGGTAATTCTGTAGACAGGTGGCGGTGACACACAAGCAATATTCAGGAATCTCCCTCCAATGCACCGCCACCTGTCTACAGACTTACCCTTGCACGCGTAATACAAAAAAGATCAGCATCTGCTAGCCGGAAGTAGTAGCTACGATATTTTTAACACTGCTGACAGAGGCCACTGTATCCCATGGTAGGATGAAATTTGTCAAACTTGCGACCTCCCTTTTCCAGCTATCACTAGCATAGTGTGGTAATTGTTGGAAATTCTTGATTGGCTCTGTTCCGTAAAAAGCAAGACAATTTCCTTATTAAGTGGTGCCGGTCCAGGTCGCAAGTTTGACAACTTTCATCCTACTATGGGATAGTAGAGTATCAAAAGTACAACCTTGAGAACATGGCTATTAACTGCGTGATTACACTAAGCTTATCTTGTGACTGGAGGATGATTATTTTTTGTTAATATTTTTTTTGTTGTAATAGCAGTCTTATAATGATTGTGAGTAAACGGGGGACTGTAAAAACTTTTCCAATTACTGTTTTCTACGAGCCTTCTGGGTCCGATAGAGCAACAAATTAACGATATCAGCCAAAAAAAAAGAAGAAAAGAAACAGCTCTTGTCTTGCTGCGCCTATGCATACTAAAATCAATTACCAGCCTTAGATAGGCGCCTGGTCATGGAGGTACCCCGACGATATTAGCTCATCATTCAATCTAAAGACCTCGAGAAGTCGTCCTTGTAACCAGAGGCATACGCCGATTCGAGGTTTCTCCGGTCCTGTTGACGAGTTTTGATATGGTTTTTTGCTGAAAAGACGAATTCACTCGGCAAAGGATAATCGACTATAGTAGGACGATCTTTCGTCTGTCTGTCCATCTATGCAACTCTCTGCACATTCTTTAATAGCGCCCTAACTACCTCCACGCCTGTCAATATGATCGATTTGTTGTGGGCTAGATTGAAGTCTGTCTGGGTATCGGTACAGGCGTAGAGAGGTGATTGAGTTGATATACGGAGGTGTCGAAATCGCGTCAAGAAGGTAGTCCGTATTAGGACTAGTGTCACGACTTATCACTGGTTACCTAGGCGACCAAGGACGACATCTCACGAGCCGGAAAGGGGTTTTTGGTGAAAAAACAAGAATTTTGGTGCAATGTATCTGGTGCAAACTACGAGAGACGAGGGATGTCGTTTTAGCGAAGCTCGTTTTTTCGCCGATGATGCAAAGAGCTTCATGAAATATCACTCGCTCAAGTGATTCGACCCACTAAGCTTTAGTTTCCATTGATTGATAATTCGTTCATAACTTCAGTTTCTATAGATAATATAGGATTAGAATCTCTCTTTAGGCAGTGCACTGAGTCCTCCTGCACTGCCCCCATCCAAGCCTTTCCGATAAGAACATAGCAAAACTCGGCTGAATTCACAAGCTTGTCTGTGGTTCCTTCATAAACCGATCATTGATTTCCGTTGACACACCTCATAATGAATTTCCTTATATCCAAGTACTAAATTTCTGCTAGCAATACCCCAAAGCACTCATACAATTCACAAATTCCACAAATTCCACCGGCGGCCCATTCATTTCACCGAGTTAGAAAGCAACCAAGGCCTATACAGATGGGCTGCGGCTTACGCCCAGCATCCGTCAATCCATGAAGAGACTCTTACAGCGGACTCCTCCACCGAATCCTGGAACCCCTGCACCGTATAGATGTCACACACCCTGAGCTTGACGCAGTCATAATAAACGCAGTCATGAGATCAAATACATAGCGGAGTGCAGGATCGATGCTTCCAGTACTGCTAGTGGTAGTCCTGCGTGTGGTGCGCGATGTCCTTGTAATATGAGCCATCGTAATTTGTATATAGAAGCTGCCATGATCTGCCGGGCCAAATCCGCGCAGCCTGAGAGATACCCCTGGTATATAAAGGTCGCATTCTTTAGTTTGTAGTGTTTGTGCTACATACGTTTGTTGTAATTCGGATTTAATATTATAACCCGCAGTACTCGGGTTGCATACTAGTAATGCAGTAATCAATCAATTAATCCCGTTGTACTCGCGCCGCATGTTGTTGAACCATGATGTAGTGATATGGATTTGTAGTTCTGTATGCGTGCACGCCTTAACCAATAATACGGTATTTAGATGTTATCTATTTTGAGACAAAATACTTTCGAAAAGAAAAAGGGTGGCAGCCGAATCGGTGTGGGATCAAGGCACAAGCCACGGCTGAAAATAAGCCACCCGAATCAATTGCTTTAACTACGGGATACGCTCTTACGGCGTGCCTGAAATACGTAATTAGCAGCTGATTAATATCAACAGAGAAGTATGACACCCTCCGATCGACCAGATAGGCGCGCTACAAGGATATCAGGGTTAGGGTTGGCTTTAAGATTAATAAACTGAGTGTTCGCTCTGGTTGCTCGGAGGGCGACAGTCAACGGGTGCTGGTTCCAACCTCGGCGGGGACGAACCCTACTACGGTGAACTGTGATCTTGTGGGGATGGTAGTATACGGCGTTAATTTCGTAGTTCAATATATTACGAACGCGCTCATCGAATTACTTGCCCTCGAACCCCTAGCCAAAGCTCACTCTGTTGCTGAAGCTCAACCCTAGCCTGACTATGAACATGCGGTAGTTTCGTTGCTAGATCCTACGGTATCTTTCTGGTTGTGTGCATTTTAATTAACCCTTCGTATCTCGAAAAGTGCTGCCTGCCCTAAAGCGGGTGCCAAGATTCTGGTTTTTATTCACAGATCCCTTATTTTTATCAATTAATTAACCTCTCGATCTCACTCTATTTAGGCAGAATCGAGAAACGGGGGATACTTTTACATTGTTGGGTATATGGTGGTCAACGCCAGTAATGTCTGGGTTATCGCAGTTGGTGCGGTTGTGATGATGAAAGCTAGAGGGAAGAGAAGATTATCCTCGCTTCATTCCTAATAACCTAGTGTCCTAATGGCAACTAGTCCTTTGATCGTAACGAACAAGTATGACGTAGTTCTATGCTACTACGTTGCTATAACTTGCGAGTTGCTCTCTATGTACAAAACGGTGCTAGTGAGTGATCTATGCGGGTCCATTCGCGAAATCGTCGGGTCCTTGGATGGCTTCGGGCAGATCCCCACATTTGGCGACGGTATTCCTTAAATTATCGGAAATCTCACTGCTTTTTAGCACGGTTAGATTAGCGAGGTAACCACAGCGGGGTTAGCAACAGATCAAGTCTTGATGTAATAAATAATGCTGCTGCCCACCATGGCTATTTGAAAACGGAGGAGGGGATAGAAGCCGGGGCCTTTGATAACAATCAGGCCAAGAAAAGGACTGGCACAAACCTTCTAGGTAAGCACAGACTAGGCCGCCCTGGTCTGAAGCATAGTCAACCACCACATGACACGAAAAAAAAGGGGGCACAGGTCTGAGAACGAGACCAGAGCTCCGCTAGCCGTCGGCGTCTGGGATTTACCTTGTCGAAAGTATCGAGAACGAAGACATTTACATATATACATGCATGTGTATATAATTAACACACATAAAGCCGGTAACATGATATGATAGTACTAGTATAAAGACGACATCCAGAATTATTGACTCAGTCAATGGTAAATTAAATATAGCCTATTGTTGTAGCTCTAATCTAATTGAAAAATAACCCAATGGCTATATGAATTCCGGATTTGATGACTTTCATGAATTCAGCCAGCTTACCCATCATCCATAAATATCGATCAAACATTCCCGCTAACAGTTGCCGAATATCCATTGTATAAATTTCCAGCCCCGTTCCTGCCTCCCAAGCCCGGGCTTCCAATACCCCTCTCAAAACTTCCTGCCTCCTGCGATGACACTTCATATGAGACCTCAGTTTTAATCATCAACGCTGGTTCTGGATCCACTATATGCTCCATTGAATCTGAAGTATTAAGGGTCGTACTACCCATTCTCAACTTCCTGTTCGCAAGCTCAATCGATCTAGGGTTTGAGGCGCCACTGGAATGGGAGTTCTCAAAGGTGCTGGGTCTACCGTTCCAGAATCGTTGCGAAAAGATCGGTCGGATCATGGGGCCATTTCCGACTAGGACTGCGACGAACGTCTCACGGCAGGCCCAGATAGCCGCGGTAGACGAATTCTTGGAGTCCTGTTCGAGGATTAGTTTATGTCTTAGTACAATTGTAAGCTTTTGGTATCGCACCGTCAAGCTGAATCCGCAGCGGAGAACTGCGGCTATCATCACGAAGATACCTGCTGAAAACATGATGACGAGGAACATTTTACGCTGTATTGGCATGCGGGTTCTAAGGAGTAACTATAGGTTTGGTTAGCCGTTTAGAGTTGGCTAGCGCGATCGTTTTCGGGGCTGGGTGCGTGGGCGGGGTACTCACTGGTAATGGTACGGAAATAATTAAGCCATCCGTGAAAAGATTTAGAATCAAAACTACGAGATAATACACTGGATTTTCTATTTGGCACATTACTAAGAAGAATCTATGATTAGCCCCGTTGAAAACAATGAACTATGAGGAGACTTACAGCCTGGATCAGGTACAACCTTTTTCCATCGTATGGGTTAGCAAATTTAACATATTGATGTGAGTCATTGGAATAAATTTTATGGCTGGTTGACTAAGTACCTGGAACGACTTGTACCAAGGTCTAAAGAGTAAAATCAGCATAAGGGTCTTACAATTTTAATTAAAGAGACTACAGAAAAAGAAAAGTCGGTTAACGAACCTACAAGTCAAGAAAAGTGTAAGTATGATAACAATCCAAGTCACCCCCACACTCACAAAACACGAGCGGATCAACCCTTGTCGGTCGAGCCCAAAGCTAAATAAACCCGATAACAGACGTCAATACAGGCCTAAAACCTGGGAATTCAGGTTTGCTAACGTTACGCGTTTGAAAAAGAACACCATGCACAGCTTCAAGATGTATATAAGACCCGTATAGGTAAACCACCCCACCATAAATGCCTTCGTCCCCATTACCCTCATTTGGACTTGATGCGGTGTGAGAGCCTCCCGTTCTACTTCCGTGAGACCAAAATTGCTTCCTCCAGCAATTCCTACGAGATGAGCCATCGTTGACTCAACAGCATATACGATCTATAGCTTAGTTAGTACCAGATACATGCATTGGGAGAGATTACTATATTGTAATTAGCTTAATAGGTGGGTTCATTTATGCATGTACTTACCAGGCCAATAAACATCAGATAGTCGTCCGGTTTTAAGCCCGCGAAGCCGACCATCTTCAACCGTGCTACCAGACGCATAAAGATTACAACTGCTCCGACCGAGAATAAGGTCCATGACTCGACAACGTAGGCCGACATTCTGTGAATATGTACGTCTGTTTGGAAGGTGCTGGCTTGTTGGTTGATTTCACCCACGCCAAAGACGTCCATCGAGGGACCTCCGGGTCTATATAAGACACATCGATAAAATTGCGATGCTCTGTATACTGATGCCGAGCTATAATATTAGATATATGAATCCGAACTACATGTGGTAGGATATGGCTGTCTGCAAGGTCCCTTATAGCTGGGCCTTTGATCCTTCTTTTCGCCCCAGAGACGGCGACCTACTGTCGTTCACGGACACTGGACCGTGTTGACGGATAAGCCAAAAGAGAGGCAGCCAAGCCCGTGAACCACAGTACCTATTCCTTGGTTCGCCCCATGTGTCTGCAGATCGTGGAGAAACCTTGAATTATCCCTTCCATGGATGAAACTTGTCAAATTCGCGACCTGGACCGTGCACCACTTAGTAGGGGAATTGTGTTCCCATTTACGGTTGATAATGACAACAGAACCAATTAAGAATTAGCAAAAGTTACCACACAAGGCTAATGATAGCTGAAAGAGGGAAGTCGCGAATTTGACAAGTTTCATCCGTGGAAGGGATAGAGTACCGTCGTTCACGGGGTATTGGCGGATACTGGGTGTTGGCGGATTGAAGCCAAAAATTGGCTTGGCCGTCTCTTTTTAGGCTTATCCGCCAACACCCAGTACCCGCCAATACCCCGTGAACAACAGTACCACCACAAGCCCCCTAGAGCCCTGAAAACCATTGGCCTGGAATCTTAAACTGCATGCCCCATTGGAAACCATCGGGCCGGCATCAAGTGGGGTCTCAGCCAGCCTTGAAAAGTGGGGTCAGGGCACTGAAGAGATCAAAAGCGGTGTACTTGCTTACCAGCATATGAACCAGAAAATGCGAGTTCGAGAGTCAAGGATTATTTGTATGGAGTGGCGCGGATCTGCCGTACAAAATAGACATTTGCATTTTCTGGTTCATATGCTTGTAAGCAAGTACAGCGAGAGGTAAAATTATTGTAGAAACACGGGTCTAAAAACAGGGTTTCTGTGGCTGGGCAAGCTAATAGGACTCCTCCCATATTTCTACCGCAAGCTGTATCTATGTGTGCACCCGGTACAACTCTGAATGATCCATGGATCAGTCAGCTTTCTTATTTAATCTTCTGGCTCGCGTATTTCCCCTGAGTTGTCTGGGGTCAAATATCGGTCCAAGCAAAGTATTGTAAGCCAAAGTAAAGCAAAAACAACGTCTCGTTTCCATCGAGACGGAAAATGTCTCCGGAAGGGAAAGATGATATAACCGCTCTACTCTATTGGTCATGAGAGTTGCGTAATGATGTATACTAACTACTACTTATAGGTGGTGCAACCGAGTAAGCTTTTACATATGGGTGATATTTCCTTCTCGGAAAAGCTCTACACCATAAAGACGTCGATGCACAGGCTGTAAATCTTCTTCCTCCCACCAGCTCGGGGAAGATCCATTATGTCATCACAAAACCAATGTACCATGTAGAGCTCTATGCTACCAGCTCGTTAATTAAAAGGTCGGTTTGCTGCAACCAAATCCCACAAAAAATCCTGGCCTTTTAATTAACGCGCGAGTACATCAATTTTGTTTGTACCCAGAATCAATGAAACTATGAGTTAAAAGAAAAAGGAAAAAAAACATCAATGTTGTTTCTTTATGCATAAAATATGCCTGCGTGAGAGCTTCCATATATATGACGAGTAGGGTGGTGTGGGTGCCGAGAACCATGTGGGCAGACTTTTGACCAATCCTTGCTTTAGGAGTTGCCCGAAGTCTATTCTCAAAACAAGTTATCGGGTCCTGCGTTCTATCTACTCGTAGTTTTTTTGCGGTTCAGGACTGGACTGGGTCTGCATATGGGTGTACTCTAAATCGTAATGCTATTGCTCAAATGTTTACACGCCACGTTTCTACAATCTACCGGTAGCAAATGGGAGCTTGGCGGAGGATGTGTAGGTGTCCTTATGCTTAGCTGCGACTTCTTTTGGCGAGGTGTAAGATTATGCGGGGGAGCGCTTCTTCTGGTATCCGGTCGGCCATCGATCTCGATAGACTCTACTCGCGTACAGCATAAAGAACCAGAAAATGCAAGTGACGAAACAGGGATTATTTGTATGGAGTGGCGCTGATCTGCCATACAAAATACACGCGAGTAGTAACTTAACGAGATCCGGTGGTGGCGGATGTTATTGTATCAAGGCATAAGGCAATTAATTCGCGAGAGCAAACAAACATCACTTACGTGAGCTCCTGTGCTACACGTGCGGATGTATTTTTTCGTTTTATTCATGCATCACGTTGTTTGGGGAAATGGCCAGTGCTAAGCGATAGTTCTGTAGCGTTTAAACTGATGATATTGTAAACCGGATTCCCTTGACTTGCTGGTTGATGATACCCTCAAGTCTTCGCAGAATCCAGCCCTATTTATACATGTTGGAACCTATGCCAAGGCCCGCTTCCTAATACTAACTGATACAACAATAAATAGAATAAGATAATGCTCCCGAAGATAACTCAGATAGAAAAGCGCCCCCCGTATAGTTCCGTCCTCCATTCTAATTCCGACACGTAACTATGAACCTTGCAATTGCCAGTCATCGGGCTGTACCATACTATTATCCTAGACCTACTTCCCTAAGTAGAACAGCCTACAGCCGTAAGCCCCGCTTCCTATTCTATTCCGGGTGAGACACCTAATAGTAAGCGTGCCGTCATAATAGTATAACACTAGTGTGGTAACACCGCGTGCCCCCACACTACCCGATACCTTTCTATGCTTGTCCTTTCGTTACCCGACCGTCCTCGCATCACAACCCGTCACTCGTATTCCTCACTGTCTTAAGTCTTTAGAACAGTGTTCCGTAGTTCCTGTAACACACGTACGGATGTAAATACATGAACAACTTTTATTATTCCCTATTCCCGCAGAACTATTTGCATACTTCAGGAATCACCAAAACGGGTCGAGACCCAATGGCTCGGGGCAGACCCCCCAAACACTGGGTTGTGGAAAACAAGCTTTGAGCAAGTCATGAATCTAAGATCGAAGGGGAAAAATGCGAAATGCTAGACGCGCGCAAGATTTTACGCTACATACTCGCGCGGCCGAGTTTCAACTTAATCACATGACTTATGAGAAGCATAAAAAACCGCATTTGTTAAATAGCGTCACGTGGGTAAGTCAAAACTCAACCGCGAGAGTAGGTCCTATCATTCACTGAACCGTGTTAACGGGTTCAACCAAAAAGAAGGCCAAGCACTCCCCATTGAATCAGAGCTCCTTGGCACTCAACGCCTAGTGAATGAGAGTATGTTCGATGTGTTGCATATTGCGGTCCGAGCGAAGAAATGTCTCCTTTGACCTGCAACCACCGTGATAGGCGAAAGCTTCTTGGGCTTGGAACATGGATTTAGCGGGGTGCATGCGATCTAGAGTACCTGTTTTAGTCCCACTAAAGCGCGCCTCTTTTATTTGCTTTTTCTGAAGTTGGCTAGACCAACAGATCACCGATACAATAATGAAAACATAGATATTGCTCATCGAATATAGCTGCCTAAATTGTTGGTTAATTACAGTCACACCTCGCTATGGCGAATGCCAAGAATCGCAAAGAGTTGGTAAGAAAATAAAAAATCCCAAGGGATCCGGGTATTGAGTTCAGGCCTATCGAGCTTGCGACTGTACGCGTTCTCATAATTGCTTCTGTGAAGTACAGAGACAGGTAATAAATGATGGAACGCCCTGAGAGTACAAACACCAAATGTTGGTGGCGTTTTACCAAAACAGGTATTGCTCTGTTCTCTCACTTATTACCTAGAGGTGGGATCCGGGAAATACCAAAATGATAGCTTGAATTGGATATTCTAAGTTTAAATGGGCTATTATTGGAGGAGGTGGCTAAGTGCAATTACTGGAGCTGGCTAACTGTGTACTGGAGATGGTAAGTATTACATGTAAAAAGATTTTTAAGTATGAGGGATTCTCAAGCAAGAGCAAGACCTCGCGGCCGCGGGGTGGGCCGCTACTAGTTAATATATATCGTAAATCCAATCCGTACGCGTGATATTGTAGTATTTTACCGCTTAAAGAGTCAACTAATCAATCTACGGAAATTAATTGGAGAATCGATCTACTACCATATTTCTGTCTAGGCTAACGCTGATGTCTTCTCCGGTTCCCATACAAAAACATTTCCTCTAAATTTGACACACCCACCCCCTACCTCCCCCGCGCCACACGCCCCGACACCCGAGTAGCAGACGACCACCCAGGTCGAGGAGAGACATCTTGAGTTTTGCCATGTTTTGTCCCCCCTCGTTCTAGCTACGTTTTATTTCGCCTCGTATCTCGAGACAAAGTGTCAAGACGTTCTGTCCCGTGCCCATTAGTGGTGACATTTTATGAGAAGAACCTCGGGGCTTAACGGGCTAGCTTGCGAGCGATCTCGTCGGGTGCATGTGTATATACAGCTACCGTGTTATAATAATAATGATAATTAAACTCCACCTGGTAGGATAAAATATCAAACTTGCAGAATCGGCTATATTTCGCTATCCAAGCTTTTTTTTTTTTTTTTTAAATCAGTGTTTCAATTATTTCTGGGTACAAGAATATCACATGGAGCCTAGGCTATGGCGTGAACAACACCCCTCCCCTACCAAACCGCCGAAGAGAACATGACGAAGGGCAAATGAAAGAGTGTACATGAAGCAGACGTTGAGAAGAGACCCTGGCATTCCTCCTACTGGCCAGCAAACTAAGAAATTCGGACGTCCCCATCTGAGGCGGTATACTTTCGTACCAGCTATGCAATTTTATGGCAGGACATATGAGAGAAGAGAAAATAAGAGAGCAGAGAGGACACTTTTAGGTGTTGGGATCACGGCGTTTTTATTGTGGCCTGTTTCTTGGGCCCGGTGTGGATGAGGGTGGTCTAGGCCCAGCTTGATGAGAGTGAGGTGAGGTCGGAGTCTGAGGATAAGTCGTAAGGTGGCGACATGGGTGGGCCCATTTGTGGGGGGTACCCGGTTTTGGTGTCCCTTATGTATGAGGAGA